TTGCTTGTTCAATGCTATCTTGGGGAGCTGTGCATCATGTTTCCTTGTGGCTGTAGGAAGAAAACATAGACTATAGTGAAAACATATATCCTTCGTCCCCATACATGCACCTTCAGTATAATAAAAGTTTCTCAAAAAAGATTTGATCTCGTAGTCTGAGGAAGAAACAAGTATCCAATACTACTAATTCTACTCCTTCAGCAGTTCTCCCTGATGCTGTTGGCAAGTCTGCCAGCTTTTGACTCAACGTCTACTACTGTAAAACTAAAATGCCACAATGGGCTTTGAGGATTAAGTGAAATGTGAGAATTAATTAGATGGATGCTCTTTTGTTTGAATGTAAATCAAGTGTCCATCAGCACTTCTCATTTGACAGTCGCTGTAGCGCTAAAAATGTCTGTTAAAATATTGTGTCTTCTTTTCTTAGGGTTGATCTACAGCTGCAAGAAGTAGCTTTGAAAATGAGACAGCTTTAAAGAGAGAAACCTGAATAGAGATCATATTTCTCTGACTGAATTAAATTCTTACTGTGGCACTACTTTGTGCCATTCGGTGAGCGTGTGCATTCAAAAATTTTCCACTTTGCATAGAAAAGAGGCATTTATTAACAGCAGTTGGAAAGAGCATCCTTCCAAGTAACCGGATGCTGCTACGACCACCAGGTGTTGACTTGTTGGAAGACCTGAGGGGTCTTATTTTGCCATATTAATCCTGTTTAATTGTATGCTTCTATTCCCTGTGCATTCTTGCAATCAGATAGCAGCATAGACTCTGATTCATGAATTCTGATGTAGAGAAACTGAAAGGTTAAGGTTTTCAAAAAAAGCTGAGAAGTATAATCCTATCATCTAAATATGAATTCCACCCAGAGAGGAAATTTCATCACACTAAGTGACAAATTGCTTAAAACGATCAAACTGCTGATGCAACTTGTTGGTTTGTAATAGTATAAGGCATTATCTTCTAAAACTAAATTGTAATATGTCTATTTTTCAAATATTCCAAAATTACTATTAAGAACTGCCATTCTATTTATTTCATAAGAAAAAAGACACATCATGGCTGCTCATAAAGTGTATGAGTGAATGCAAGTAGAGATAGATATAGATAAATACAGAATATAGACACACATGTAGGGGGGTTGTGTGTATATGTATACATATAGACTAGGGCTAACTTCCACAGATGTGCAGGGGCTTTTCTGCCTGGAAATTTAGTTATAGAAGGGTCTGTAGGTTTCAGTCACTCATCCAAGAAACTAGGATGCCAGACTCCATAGAGGAGGTAGCTGCAATCTGAGCTTTTACATGTTTGAAGATCCAGGGAGTGTTCTGTCTGTATAGATCAGCTCTATGTGGGACATCTGATGTGCACATGTGGAAAACATGACAAAATTGGAATGAATTGGATGTAATGTATGGGCTTTTGGTACATGTGCCTATCCAAGTGTACAACCTTTACGTAGTAAAGCCAGTATTCCTAGATCAGTTGGATACTGTACACACACAAACCTATCAGTGCAACACGAACACAGTCAGGCCAGCAGTCCCCAATTGAGCATCCAACTCATTGAACATGGAACATGTACAACCTGTTTGAGAATTGCTGGGCACCATTCTATAGCCATCACCTCTGGAAATTTTTTTCCTGCTCACATCTTTCACGCTCAAGTCACCTGGATAAAGCAAGGCTTAAGCTTCCACCTTTCTTTCTTTCTTTACAGAAAGAAGACTGTTCCACAGTACCTGGGTCCTGGGTAAGAACTCTAGGCAAGACAGAGTTCCCTCATATCTCTTTTAAACCCCGTAGGTTTCTGCTGTGGAATTGTCTTTTGGATTAAAAATGAACCTTCTCTCCATTATGTATGGGGTTTTTTTTATCTGGGTCTTCTGGTTCTTGTCAACAGCTTTTGACCATCTTTTACATGTATGAAAAATTAAGTCTTACCTTTCTTATTCTTCTAAGAAAACTGTATAATTTTAATTTCTGATTGGACTTACATATATTTTAGATTTCCTTCCTTGTTGAGGATAGTGGAAACATGCTATGACTTATGTTTGTTTGATACAGACCTTTCTGATCTAGGGGAAGATTTTAAACTTCTTGCTAGGGGAAAGGTAGAAATCTAATGAAACTAGTCTGAAGGCATCTTAAAAGTCAAAATGAAAAATATCTCTATTTCTCTAAAATAATTACTGAAACATGTAAATACCGGGGCTTTGTTTTATTTAGTTTTCAAACTAAATAAATTTTAAATATGTAATTTCCTCTGGATAAATATCTCTGCATTCACAGCAAAGTCTTGTTTGTTCATAACATGCTGTTTCTGTGAAAACCTGGATATATTGGTGATTGTCAGGTAACAACACAATAGCAAATCAGCAGTTTGTTTGAAATGCCATGTCTCAAGGACAGCAGAAAAATTGTTGTCATAGGGCATGGGTTAAAATGTCCCTTTAATTCATCAATGCATTTTTGTTTCTTGTCTGAATTACTTAATCGTCTCACTTGATTGCCCATTTTTTTAAACTTTAAAAAATACTTCTTCTCTTGAAAGAAATTTCATGGTCTGCAGGGTAAATTCTCTTGTAAAACAGTGAATTCTAGGTTCTTCCTGTAGTTCAGGTAGAATTTCAGGATTCAAGGTTTACTTCTTTTTCTTGTGAAAAGTTGAATCCAATCTCCTGGGTAAATGAGTTTTAAAAACTGAACTGTTCTGAGATCAGCCATCATTAAGGCAAATCTATTCAGAACCAGTTAATATTGTGTCTAATCCTGTTCACTTCAGTTTATCTGAATTGGAAAATTCATTCATAGAATTGGGAAACTGTATCTGTCATAAAACCCTTGGTGGAGTGTACTTACAGTGTAAAATGGGAGCTTAGGAGAGTTACAGTCTGGGGAAACTGGAATTGTTCTCAAATAACTGAAAACTGGTGTGTGGCCTTAATAATCCTAGGAATGCATTTCCTTTGATAATGTTGCCTTTTGAAGAATTGATAAGCCTTACTGTATTTGCAGGTGACTGGTAGGGGGGTAAGAGCAGATGAAACAAAGGGATAATAAATATTCTCTTTCTCCTTTATAATGAAGTTCTTCAACAAAACTGTTGTTGCTACAAAGTATTGAGTTATTCTGGAAACTGAGTGGATTGAAGCACCATGAGTAGTCTGTAATAGAAATGTCTTTTCCAGCCTTTTTCCTTGTTATAATACTGTTTGTTAATATGTCAGCTGTGTTCATTCCTTCACCATTCATTGAAAAACTTTTTTAATGTTCCGTTCTCTGTTTTACATTTTTCTTCAGTTTGATAGGGAGACCTAGTTGTAATCCATAACTTTTAGTTCAAACTGCTGTTCCAGAAAGTTCAAACTATGTAGGGGATTGTAAGTTTTGATGAAGGAGCTTCAAAATCAAACAGTATTTGGTTTAACTGTAGTAGTTGCTGTTTTACTTCTGGGATTGCTTTAGGAAAGCTGGGAAACTCCAAGATAAACATAAAATTGAAATTTTATGTTTGAAAACCAATTTTGTGCAGAAACTATTTTTTAAGTATTAATAAACATATATTTTATTAATAGTCCCCAGCTGGAAGTTACAACTTCATTTTCCAGAAAGAAAAATGACTTTTAAATATTTCATGTGTCAAAGGATGAGATGAAAAACATCTTCCTGAAACAAATCAAGGCAATTAGTATATCAGGTATTGTATGTTTATTTGTAGGCTTCTTTACAAGACCTGTAAAATCTGAATATTTGAAAGATTTCCTATGAAGTAAGCCTACAGTCTCATCCATTAAGCTTATGATTTTGTAAAAGGGAACAAAAAGGCACTAAATAACTACTTTGCTGTAACCACTTGGGAAACCTGTTGCATGACAAACTTAATTCAACTGAATGCTTGAAGTGCTGACCAATATTCCAAATGGGGGGGGGGAAGTACTAAGAAGTAAATGCACGCAGCTAGACAATAGTAAGTTCTTTATTAAAAGATTTTGGGTTGTAAAGTCATGTCTGTTCTATCTCATGTTCAACTTTCCTGAATAAGCACAAATGGCTATTTTTGGACTAGGTTGCTTCTTTTGGTACCTTTTGATAAAAGCACATACCTACTAAATTTAGTAGAGTTTGTTACTGGCATTTATTTAAAAATGTAGGAATTACTGTGCTATTTAAGGTTAATGGTTCCTCTACTCAGCCTACAGCAGGCAGGATCAGATGCTTCAGAGAAAGATATAAAAAAATGTGGAAACTGTCAAATACAGAATAACCATTCCAGACAGGAAGCTTTTCTAACATTGCACACGGTCTGTCACTTGGCAGAGGAGTTTCAAATTTGGGGTGGGAGGAAAGTTTTCCCTTAGTTTTGTCTTACTTCTTTTCCTTCCCAAGCATGCTGACTGGAGAGAAGCATAATTACTCTGTTCTGAGATTAGTTGTTTTCATAAAGTGAACATTCGTTATGTTCTGCATTCCTAATCTGTATTGTATCATGCAGGTGTATATTGAAACCCAGTGGTCAGTAGTATGTTGAGTCTGTTATGCACAGTGCATCCCTTTTGAAGAAACACTTAACATATTTTCAGTTAACATAATTAAAGTAATGCAGTGCCCTTCCCACCTCCTTGTCTGCGTATCCATGTGTACACAAACGCTTTCAGTACTTGTGCTCAGTGGTTGGTTGTTTTCTTGGTCAGGGTATGTGGGGGGAGGGAGGGAGGCGTTGCTGCTGATTTTTTGCTTTTGCCAAATATAATCACTGTCTAAAACACGCTCATATTGATGAAGGTAGTTTCATACTGAAGCAAGTAATTTTCCTAAACTATCTTCTTCCACTGTAAGATGCAGCTAGCCAAAATGATACCTCTGTTTTTAAAGGCTTGTTGTAGCTGGCTTATTTCTGAACCTCTGGAATACCAATATTCTTGATCTAAATTTAATTTTTTTATATAGTGATGAATGTTATCTGTTTTATGCTTATTATTTATTTTCTTTCAAAGGACGATCTTGAGGTGAAATCTGAGGAGCGTGCCAGTGTCATCCAACAACTTGAGCAAACTATTGAGGATCTGAGGACCAAAATTGCAGAACTAGAGAAACAGTTCCCTGCTGCAGAGGTACAGACTTCTGGGAGGGAGCAGGAAAATGAGCACACGCATGCAATCTGCGGGGAACTCAGCTGTGTGACTCTTCAAACGAACAAAGAGGAAACCATACCCAGGACTGTGTCACAAGCAAGATCTGTACAAACGTCACCAACGGAGGATTATTTAACACACACAATGCCTTCAGCCAATGCACTGCCACAGCCACCCCCACCACCGCACTTAGAAGGGGGCAAAAGTGAAGAGCCAACTCAGAAATTGCCAGCTCTAGAACTACAGCCCACGTTTTGTTCTGAAATCTCCTTAATTCTGTCGCCGAAGCTAATCTCAGTGCCACTGGATGCAAGCCAATCAGAACAGAGTACGCTGAAGTCACCTCTTCCAGGACCCAAAGTTAATTTGTCCCTTGCATTTGAAGGAGAGACTGAAATTCCAGCTTCCCATCAGCCTTTAAGTACTGTAGATGTGACTTGTAGTGAACATCCCCCTTCTTTGCCCCCGGAGCCCACATGTAGCATTCCCCCATCACTGTCAGCCACCGAACAAGCTGCTCCCCTGTCTGGAGAACAGGGCCCTTCCCTTGTGACTCCCACATCCATAGCAGGAGTACCACCCCCACCAGCCCTGCCCAGCTCAGGACTCCCTCCTTCTGCTGGCTCAGCAGTGCCACACCTGGACCACTCTTTGCCGGGCATCATGATGTCACCACTCCCCCCTCCTCCTCCCCTTCCACCTTTGCTGAGTGGAGAGATACCAATACTGGCTCCAGCTGCTCCTCTCCCTTGTGCTGGAGTCCCACCACCACCTCTACCACCACCTTTGCCCGGAGCAGGAGTCCCACCCCATCTGCCCAGTTGGGGCATCCTGCCTCCCCCTCCACCACCACCACCTTTACCTGGGGCTGGTGTCCCTCCCCCACCTCCTCCTCTGCCTGGACTGGGAATGCCCCCCCCCCCCCCAGCACCCCCTCTGCCTGGAGCAGGGCTGCCACCACCACTTCCACCTCTGCCTGGTACAGGTGTCCCCCCTCCGCCTCCTCCACCACCTCTGCCTGGTACAGGTGTCCCCCCTCCGCCTCCTCCACCTCCTCTGCCTGGTGCAGGTGCCCCCCCTCCACCACCTTTGCCTGGTACAGGTGTCCCTCCGCCACCCCCTCCTTTGCCTGGGTTGGGGATGCCACCTCCAGCCCCACCACCTTTGCCTGGAGAAGCACCACCCCTTCCAGCGCCAGCCCAGGGCAGCACCTACCCAGCAGTCCCACAGGGCTATGGGTTTCTTCCTCCTCCGTTACCATCTGGTTTATTTGCAATGGGGATAAATCAGGAGAAAGGGAGCAGGAAACATGTGATAGAGCCTTCTCGGCCAATGAAGCCTCTTTACTGGACAAGAATTCAGCTCCACAGTAAAAGGTAAGTTGTACAGTTGTGAAGAGTGGTGTTTTCACTTTATGGCTGTCCTGATAGTGTTGTGTGTTATGAGCAAAAGTCTTTATTTACTGCTAGGCAGGTCTTTGAGAAAACCTCAGTGCAAACAGGATTTTATTTGTAGTTGGATATGTAAATGAGCTGCCCATTTTCTTTAAAGCACAAACTCTGAGTAGCATTATTTGTACACGAAAGCTTTTTGAAGGTAGTGTTTTCAGCTGTCCTTTGGGATACATACCACGTGTTGATCAGAGATCTGGGGGTGACTGTATGCCACTAAGCATTCCGTGAGATGTTTTTTAAAATGTCGTATTTGTGATTCCCCTCAACTTTCAAATAACGTTGGTCTTTCTCTGGAGCAGCCTGCAAGTTTTGGTAGTGTCTTCCCTCTAGATGAATGTATGCTGAATGCGTTTTATCCTCCTCTTTCCTTTCTCCAGTGACCTAGAAATCCTGTTTTTCTTCCACCTTGTACACTCAGCAGGCAGATTCAAACTGCAATTTATTTGCATGGCAGCATAAAGTTATTCTGATAGCCCTTACTTTGATATGACTTTGATATACTTGTTTTTGGTTGTTGATGCTTTTTCTTTGTTTGTAAAATATTGTTCTTGGTCATGAAAAGAAGTTTCCTTATTAATCTTTTCTTTACGTCTCTGAGTACTGATTGTAAAACCCTTCTGCTGTCATTTAATGATGAGTTTCTTCTTTCTTTTCAAGTTCTTGCCACTGTCACACAGGTGGTATGCAGATAACTGTCTATTTCTACTTCTCTTTGTGTCCATGTCTGTATGTTTTATAGCACATGTACAGCCTATTTATATTCCTGTGTATGTAAAGTGGGTGAATTATCCTGTGTAAACAAAGAAGCAAAGATGTATGGGGGAGAATCAACAGTATATCTTATCAAAATGCTGCTAGTAGAAGTTAGGCAACAACTTTTAAATTGCTGCTATTTTCTTTTCTTCATTCCTCCATTTATGACCTTATTTAGTTTGACATTGCCCTACATAGGTCTTTTGCTTAACTTTAGAGATTCTAGTGCTTCACTTGTGTGGGAAAAAATTGAAGAGCCTTCCATAGATTATCATGAGTTTGAAGAACTGTTTTCTAAAACAGCTGTTAAAGAGAGGAAGAAACCCATTTCGGACACCATTACAAAAACAAAGACTAAACAAGTGAGTACACATTTAATTTCAGATCTTTTCTGGGCTGGTTTTTTACACAAAGACAGATTTTTGCATGCAGCTGAGATGAATTTTGCCTGATGTGAAATTGTTACCATATATATGTACACTATGTAGAAATATAAGAAAAGGAGAGAATGTAGGATGGGTTTCAAAGCTATATGTGTTAAGGACTGAAGATTTCTTTTTTATAAATGACTTTTCAAGTATATGTTTTCTTAAAAATATCTTTGCTTTATCTGCTTTAAAATTAACAAAAATTAAACTAAAATAATTAGGTGCATATATGATGCTTTGAAATTGACTGCACATGTGCAATAAATAGTATATAAATTATTCTGATTATTTTTATAAATTAAATACAGTTGCATATGAATTACCATGACTTCAGAGAAAAATTATGTTTTAAGAACCTAAGTCCTAATGTTATACCAATCATAACAGTTCTAAGTTTGTGCTGTGTTCATATATATATATATATAGTGAATATGAAGTTTATGCATACAATAAATGACAAGCACAGTCGGGAAAATCCAGCACTAATCAAACTGGTTTCTTGAAATGGAATGGTGTACAATAAAATAAAAATAGGAAGCATATTTTAAATGTAGAAGTTTAAACCCTGGGATAAGAGAATTGAATCTGAATGTTTAGGTGACTAGAGAGCTGTAATCTTGTTATCTGTGTGAAAATCATATTGTGGTGGTATGATAAGTAATTTGCAATTAAACTTTCAGGCTACAGAGGAGAATATTCTTACGTAGAATCCTAAACAGCAGTTAAAGTTCTTGTTTTATCTCACCTTCACGTTCCTGTACTCAATTCCAGACTAGGCTGTTCTTTCCATCATCTTTTAACATACAAGTTAATGCTATACAAGAGTTTTTTCCATGCTGGGTATACAGTGGGAGTCTTCAAAATCTCCATGCAGTAGATCTTATGTTTGAATATGACCTTTCCATCTAGTAGTTCTGGAGATCTTGCCCCCACAGACACATTTTGGTCAGCAATATAAATGTGCAGGTGCTCTTTACGGTGCTGGCAACCTGCTGCAGGCAACAGAACTGGTAGTGAAGTTAGGATGATTATCCCAAGGTGTTGGATAAAATTTTTATCTGGACAGATTGGAAGGATAGTGCAGCCACACTCGTGGCTGTTCATCACGTACGTGTGTGCTGCACTAGGCTGTTTGAACTGGGATGGGAGGAAAGGTAACAGTGCTGCTGCTACCTTGCTGTCCTGCAATAAATCTCGAAAGTGCAAGACCTTAGCTCTTCTTCCCTCCTTCTAGAAAAAGCCTCTTTTAATGGTTATTCTTAACTAAATTAGTATGTTCTTTAAGCTAGTAGCTCTTTAAGTAAAGCTAGTAGCTCTTTAAGTAAAAAAAGGAGTGCAAAGGTATACCTGATGCTTTGCCTATGAACTGTTGGTCCATTCACGTTTCATGAGGTTTGGTGATACAAATCTCTAAACAGAGTAGAAATCATGACTGTTTAATTCTGTAACACAAACAGTGGTTCAAGACAGACAGCGATTATGAAGAAACATTAGATGTGGATTTTAATACTGAGTATTTATTTTTCTTGCAATGCCAAAAATTTAGATACATCGTCAATAAATAAATAAAATGTAGATAAAACTAAATGAAAATGACTAATTGTTCTTAACTTCTTTGAAAAGAACAAGTAGTTTATGACAAATTTCCACACAGAAGTTTAAATCATTCTAAGTAGGTGCTGTCATCTAGAACGACCATTCCTGTGGGCCACCTAAATTGACAGAAGAGAATCCCCTGTGTGTTTCCTTTGGTGATCAAACAAATTTACTTCTCTCCAAAAGAGAGAGAAAATGCCTGATGGAGAAGTCTGATTTGTTGAATTGTAGTATCTGGGGGGAAAAATCAACCAAACAGGTAATCACAGGCCTTCATTAGAACTACAATTAGAGGTATCATTTATTGCAGATGTCAAAGTTAAATGTTCATGTGTGCAAGTCCAGTTTGGGCTTTTCACAGTATTGACATGAGACAACTGAAGTAGAACAGCTTCACAAATACATTCTACATATGCCTTCTTAGCAGTTTGGAATGCAGGCCTTCATTTTTTAAATTCTCTTCATTTATACCGCAGTAAACACTTGGATAATGAAGTTCATCCATGTTTAGCAGAAGAAACAGTTATTTGGGGAAGGCATGGCTGTAATTCCACAAGTATGTTTTTATAGGAATCACCAAGTGCTGTTTAAGTGGTTACTAACTTACATGGCTTCTATGATAGTTACGGGTGTTGTAAAGATCTTACAAATGGTGTTTCTGTAGTGATTTTTACAGGGACGTGTTATGCAAAGCAGATGTATTCTGTCACCTGTTGAGCTACAGAGGAGTGTTGTACAGAACAGAACCAGGACCCACAAAGCTCACTCTGCTGCTTTCCAGAAACACTCTAGTCTGGCAATTGGGTTTCCTCTTTGCATTGATGTGCGGGTGTGCTGAGCGGAGGTATTGCTTAGATGGATTGGATGTAAAATACTAGCTACGCTGGAAATGGTAGTCAGGAAAATTGCCCCGATAACTTTCAAATGCATAAAATATTTGGTACTCTGTAAACATCTGATTTTAATAAAACAATGTTTTTATTGTCAGCTGAAATAAAAATGTATTTACAGAGGAGGCCACATGGCAGGGGAGATTCTAGCTAATCTGAAGAAAGATTTGATAGTCTGGGGATGTTTTAGTCTCGGTGAAAGATTAATTATTTTGGAGTATGCTGCTGTTCTGCACACAGAGCTATTTATGCTATATGCCATAGAGTATATGCATATGTTTGCTTGTGTATGTATATAGCTATGCATGATATAATTATTTCTAAATGGTGACCCCTTTTTAAATGGTAAAATTATCTATATTGTTGTAGGCTGGTTTGGGTTTTTTTTGAGTTAACGATTGAGTTAATTTCCCCTTACCCAGGTATTGGTTCTGATAATTTTTTCCTTGGCATGATCATCTGCGAATAACTTAATACAATATAAATCTATAATGTTTTAAACAAACCAATATTACACCTAGCCCTGAATGAAGGCCACATTAAACTCCATTCCAGAACTTTAAAGAAAGAAAAAAAAATGAAGTGTTAATATGTATTTGTGAATGCAACTGATTTTATTCTTACTGTCTCTCATTTGGTGCTAAAGCAAAAGCTGTGATTTATTTTGCTCTGTTAATATGTATATGTCAAATTCTCAGCTGCTGTAAATGTGTGCAGGCTCACTCAATGAGAATGCCTACTAAATCTTCAAAGAAAGTCCTTTATGGGCTATATTATAGGTGGGGCTGCCATTGCTACCTATTAAAGTGGTCTGGCTTTCATTATAAGTCCCTGTTATAACTGCCAAAATTTAGCTCTTTAGGCTGCAAGTTTTGTTGGGTTGTCCCGTCCGTGTCGTCCCCCCCGTCCCCCCCCC